CCAGCAAGGTGATCAGTGGGTTAAATATCTGATACTCATTCTTGATGACTGGCTAACCAAAGAGGCAAGCTCGAGGTTCAGCTAAAGATCCTGCTTAACAGATAAAAAATGAAAAGTGGATGAGGAAAACACCTGGTAAATGATAATCTGCCTCAACACTCATGGGCACCCAAGTGCACAGGCATTTGCATACCCACTTACACACATACATTCACCGCACATGCCATCGTGTACGCAGGCATACATAAGCAAACGTATCCAAAATGTGAGTGGTAGTCATGGTTTTGTATCAATAAGTACCTCAGATTAGGTTTTGTCTTTTGCTTTCTTTTTGCTGGTTTTTCATGCATAGTTGATGGTGGTAAGAAAATAAGGATTTTCCTAGAATGTGTGTTTAGACAGACAGACATATAGATAGATGATAGATTGATAAGGATAGAGATATATAGATTGGTTTTTCAAGACAGGGTTTCCCTTTGTAGCATTGGCTGTCCTGGAATTCATTCCATAGTACAGGCTAACGCCTCCAGAATGCTGGAACTAAAGGCATGAACCACTACAGCCTGGCTGGAATACAGTTTAAATAATAAATCTTAAATCATTTTTGTAAGAACTACTAGGTTGGAAGAACAGCTCAGTGGTAAAGCACTTGCCCAACACGTTCAAGGCCTTGAGTTAAATTCCCAGAACCACCAAAAGAAANTACTTAATTGCACTATATAACTGAAATAGTAAAAATGTCATTTTATGCACTTAATGGAACTTAGAATGTTCTTAGCTTGTATTAAATAATATGAATTATATTTTATAATCAATAACTACTTTCTAAAATAATGTCATTCCCTGGTGGGGATAAATTGGTGACTTATACAAATGTTCCATATGGCATTGTAAAATCCATTCCTAATTCTACTACATATAATAATATACTTTGTAGTCTAATACCTAAAAAATTTCAAATACTTCAACATCTATTCAAATTATTTGCCTATTTTATAGATATCTTTTAAACTATTTATTGAATGACTTGGACTCTTTGTTCAAATCCTTCTTTAGTTCTAATCACCAGGAATTTGCTTTCATAAATTTTAAATGTCACCTATAAATCAGAAAGGATATTCATAAAATTACTGTAGGTGAAATAACTGCCCTAACATTTGAAAACAAGGATGGTTAATTAAATAAGTGGCCTACTGCTTATGACTACAATTGAGATATGTCCATTAGCAGTGATCGGAACTGTGACAATGTGTTGACATCAAGTTCACTGTGTTCTAAACTTTAAAATTTAATAATTCAAAACAAAAGAGGATAAAGACCAGTATTAACTTGCTGAAAATCTTTAAAACTTGAGAGTTCCCAGTGTTTTACCTGCATGAGGATACCTTGAATTTTGTTACTGTTTTACAATGACAGAAACATTAAATATAAAATACAGGCTCTCAACACTTCTATTTGTCTAATTATTACAGAGCACCTTCTGTGTGAAGCCTATAAGATGTAGTCTTTCTGTATGAGTTTCACTCATAAAACAAAAATGAAATCACAAAATACTCCAAAGATGCATTGAAGACCTGAGTCCCTTTCTAGTGTGATGACTGCATATGCTTTATTTCCAAATTAATGTGGAATATACTGTCCCCAAAGGATACAAAATTTTCTTGACATTTTAAGACATAAAATTTCTAGAACATAGCCATAATATAAACATTCCTGTCAGTATTATTCTTGAGAAAATTCACCTGCTATTCAATAATTACTTCCATACCAAGAAGGAATGTTTCATATTTCTCTGTATGTTTTCTCTCAGACCTAACATAAGGAAACCAGTGGTACAACAAGTACTCAAATACCAGCTGAATGGAGAGATGGCCAAAAATCATTTATAGAAATTATTTGGAATAAATTTTGTGTTATTCTCAGGATTTCAAAGAAATCAATGTGTATTATATGCACAACAGGCATCCTCAAAACAAAAGTTGTGTTCCCATCCAGCAAGTCTCAAATTTAGTTCAAAGTCTCACAGAACTAATAGCATGAACCATTCTGAACACTGCTAGACTAGCTCATATTCTTTACAGAAAGGGATGTAAATGAGAGTTGATTATATAAGAAGACAATGAAATAATGCATTCACATACTATAAATATTACATGTGTAATACTTCTACATGCATATTGCAAGTATTATCTGCTTACTATATGTGTATTGTTCAGGATAGGCTTAAGTTTATCTACAGGGAGTTATTCCTAGAAGGAAGTCTAAAAGCTATGAACAGAGTCCTCAATCCATCTGTTGGTGGAGACAGTCTGCAAATTACTTCATCAAGTGTTTCTTCCTCAACACCTTAGGAGCCGAACCAACATCTATAGCTGAGAATACTAAACTTTCTACCAATACTTAATTGCAAAGAGGAACTGTGCTCTTTTCAAACGGTAATGACATGGCTTACTTACTCCATATGAGGTTAGTTTTCCAAAATAAGAAAGAGGAGGAAAAGAAAGAAGTACAACTGCGAATTGTAAGTAAGAAAACCACCATTTAGAAAGAAAACAAACCAAAGTAGGAGCCATGAATTTATAATGTATAATTCAAATGGAAGAAACCAAAGTTTCCTTCTAGAGTTTTGAGGAATTAGTGTCACATGAAACTTGAATTGAGTTATCTTGAATTATCTTTATCTTTATATTTTTATTTTTATTTTTATTTTTTACTTATTTATTTATTTATTTTGGTTTTTCTTGGAACCTGTCCTGTCATTAGCTCTTATAGACTCAGCTGGCCACATACTCACAGAGATCTGCTTGTCTCTGCCTCCCAAGGGCTGGGATTAAAGGTGTGTGCTATCATTGTCCAGCTGAATTATCTTTATTCTTAGATAGTATCCATGACATTCCTTCAGTCTTCCAGACTCCTGGTATCCTTGTTGCTACAATAAATGGCTACTGTTTAGGGCGAGTATGAGCACTAATTCAATGTAAAATGTTAGTCCTGTGTCATTTGAGCGTCTTTCTTATCACTATTCTATGAGGGAGATATTTTAAAATTACATATTTACACTATAAACATAAGATTGCTAAAATCATGGTCTCCAAATTACTTTTATCCAAGATCATTCACCTAAGTGGGTATAAGCAAAATACTGAAATCTGTTCTCTCTGATTCTTATATCTGGCCTTCAAAGGTTAATAACAAATATGAACCCAATTTAATATTAATATTTTTACAAGGCCTCAAAATCAGTTAAATCTCCTAAACTCTTTGAACATCTAAAACAGTTTATCAGTAGTCATTACTTCATGTCAATGATAAGTGTAAGCAAATTTTTAAAGTAAAGTTAAGCTGGGAAAAAAAAACTTTTCAGACACAGATTTGAAATGACTATGTCCAAGGTTTTAAAGTGACACACGGCGATACATATAGGAAGTGCAGCTAGGCCAGACTCTATATCAGTAAATTCTAAGTAAGGGTGACCCCTTAGAATTGGGACAGAGTTGAAACAAAGAAATAACACTATGCCACTGTAGCCAGTGTGTGCTCTAAGAATTCGATCTATCTCATATTTCCTACACAGATTTCTATTCGAGAAGTAATGAGCCTCATGTCCCGAAAGAAATGTAAATCCCATCACCAGAATCCCTATGCTGAATTTTCTAAGTCGTTTCTATAGGACGAGATAGTTTATCTAAATGTCAGTTAGCACTGTAAATTCATTTAAACATCCATTTAATTATTCAATTGACTCCAGTTAATTCCAATTAACACCTTCTTTTAGATATACAGCAAATAACCCAAGAACTTGTCCTTTAAATTTCTAAGCAAGATGCAAGGTTTTTCTGTCTGAAAAGAAGAGATTCACTGGAAACAAATCTCCACAAAGCATCCATGCATACGTCATTAAGTTACTAATGTGAAACCAAGAAAGATGCCTGTAAAGTCTAAGATAGAATCCCTAACGTATTGGAATGTGAGTTGGTACTGGGAACTGAGAAGGTGATGAAAAGGCAGAGGGCATATTGCCCAGTAGTAGATGCAGAAGATACTTCAGATTAGACCAATAATGGATCATTTATCTAATTCAAATCGAACATTAATGCAAAACTGAACTTCGGGGAATCATTTAAGCGTCATCGAGAGCTTAGTTATACATATATTACTAAAACAAGAAAATGTGGCATGTGGTATATGAAATTTCAATTCTAGAAAACAACTCAATTAAACATAAGAGTGTGTTAAGAAAAAAAAATTTAAAAAGACCTAGACAGAGCCTCTTCTAAGTCAAATTGCATAAAGCTTTAATGTCATTGATAAAACACATAAGCAATGCTTTGGCAGTAATAAATATTTCCGCCTTGAAATTTATGTTATTATTTTGAGATATGGATTATTTAGGTGAAAATATGTTAACCATGCTACAAAAACCACTGCTAAGTTTATTTTCTATTCCAAGCATTCTTGCTTCACTAACTACCTGTTACGTATTTAAACCAATTGCCTACCTGAACTCCAAATATTTTAACAGCAGAAAAATTCCCAGTGACAAGCTAGCATCTAGCCGAGACAACATTGACAAGGAGTAAGAAAGTGGGTGCAGAGCGATTTTAGATTTCTGCTGTGGTTTTTCAATCCCTTGGATGCATTTATGAGGTGGCATAGCTACACCAAGGGAAAATAACAAGAAACATTTGACACTGAAACTGCTTGCCATTTCGATGTGATTGTACCTCTGCTTGCAGCCTCATACACAACCAAGGAAGCACGGATAGACCAAAAAAAAAAAATTAATAAATGCAACAAACGCCTAGCAAGAATTAGAAAGTGGGAAGGAAAAGAGTTCCTTGTCCACAGCGACTGCTCTACAGAGTCAAAATGGAGCGGTGTAGAGTCCCCTTTACTCCCTCAGTATTCCTCTCCCTTTCTCTCCCTCCATCCTCCCTACATCTCCCCAGTCTTGTCCCCTTCCAAGCAGTATTCTTGAAACCCTGCACCAAGCCACTCACCTGTCATCATTTTGCCAGCCTTGGTCCCCTAGCAGCAAATCCCGAAATCTGTACCTGGGAGGCAGAGGGGGTACTTCGCTCTCCAAATCAACCATTCTTCCTTAAGGGGTGGGCAACATCCAACAAGGGATGGAGGAGGGCAGCGAGGAGCAGAGAGTGCTGAAGAGGGGTACCTTTCTGAGGAAGGTGGCAGAAGAGCCTGGGGGGACCCGGAGGAGGAGGAGGAGGAGGGGTCGCTTGGCCGGAAGCTGTGGCTGAAAAGGGGGCTGGCTCCTCTTCCCCAAGGGTGTGATGGGGATGATGCAAACCGAGCACAGGAGCAAAAGTCTGGCTGCGATTCGAACCGGCGCTGCCAAGGAACCGCCCCCAGGTTCGGTGCTGCCTCTGGTCCGTGGGACCGTGGGGCGGGGGTAGGGGGTAGGGAGGCGGGAATGCAAAAGTTTCTTCGCAGACAAAAAAAGAAATAAAAGGAAGAATCGCGCGGTGCCTAGAAAGAGGGCAGGTGGTGGGCGTGAGCTCCGTGTGCTGGCCAGGCACTTTCCTGAAAGGCAGGGACCAGAACCTCCCACCAGGGCATCCCCGGCGGGAGAACTGGCTCTGGGTGCAGCCTGTCGGGGAAGGCGGGAGCGAAGGCTTTGGGCTTGGCTCTCCCTGCTCTCTGCACAGGTCTTTCCAAGCAGTTGCTGGAGACCCAGCCAATGAGCCTCCCCCTCATTAGCATAACACAGTGACGGCATGAGGGTGCCTTGGGGACAACCAATGGGGGCGAGCTCATTAGCCTAATCCTGAGCTCCAGACCCTTCCATGAAGAGGATGAGGGGTCCAAGGAATGATCCCAAGTGTCACCAGCATCCCTGTTGTGGTCGTCTTCAGCTTCAGTGGACTTAGTGGAAATGGATTGTTCCTGAACAGGGAATCCCCGCTCTCAGCACGAGGAAAACCCTTTCTCTCCCCGCCACCCCCCTCCTTTCTCTTACATTCTAAGAAGAAGGAGGTATTTCCCTGGTCTGAGGAAAATTGCTGGGACATCCTTAGGAAGCAGCTATGACGAATATTTCAATGAAAACTAAAAGAGCGTCCCGGAAACAGACAGGGCAAGACTGAGTAGCTGTTGGTAAGTGCCACTGGGAGCTTGTGGTCTCCTAGGTGCCAATGTAGGGGCGGACTTTTCACAGGGTCACAGGAGGAAAAGAACTCAGAACTCCCATTTGGCGATTTACCAGCTCCCTGGACTTTTCTGAACCCTACTATCCTACTATGTTAGGTTCTACTTGCACACATTAGTTTTTCCTTCAGGGACAGATCCCTGAGGCTCATATACGCAGAAACAGCACACTGCACCTCAGGAAAGCAAAGGCAGGCATTGCTCTGGCCCTTACAACAAGATCATCATAAAAACAGGGCCACAATGGAGCCAAACAACAACTTAATAAACACATGCTTTCTAGGGTCAAGATACACATTAAAATGAACCAGGCTTCTGCAGTCTTAAAGTGAGAGTTTAAATAAGAAACAGCAAAATGAAGATCAGGTAAACTTTTTTTTCTTGTTGTATTTGTTCTCAGTTTGGGGGGAAGTAAAGTATACTTATCAAAGATATAGTAATTAATTCATTTTGAATAATTCTTAATGGAGATCATTCAGCAGAGAAGCCATACAGAGAGCTAAAATGCAGAAAGAAATCAACAAAATTGTCGTGAAAGCAAATGAATTAATAGCAACAAACAGTTGAAGAGGCACGGCCATGCTTTCTTGTGCCTTCTCCTTCCTGCTCCTTCCTCTGTCCTAGCTTTAGATTCCCCAACTCTTCCAAGTTTGGTGAATGTGTTGTGTTCTTCCTTTAAACCCACCAAACTTCATTTTGCTAGTGGTGTTAATTATAATCTTTAGTAATGGTCTATGTATTTTAAAGGTCTTTTCTCCTCCTTTTTCTGTTCAGTGCCATCAAAATAGTCAAACCTCGTCCCATAGATGTATTGAGATGCTAACTAAAAAAAACAAATGAAATAACTATCACCTGCTAGATGCAGAGTAAATGATCTTTTAAGATAGAGCTGAGCTTCTTATTTTCTTTTTTGTGGAAATCTAAGTTGAGAGCTGAGTGATCAGATTACAGTGCAGCATAGAATGAATGACTCTATTAAAAAGAATAAGTAAAGATCTGATTGGCTCCTAACGTCACACACAATTAGCCTTGAAAGACACTACTCATTATTTCCTACTGTACTCAGCCAAAACAGTTAGACACAACTATGAGAAGGGAACACTGGCTTTCTCTGTACCACAAAGCATTGATAACAATAGTAAAAAGTTCCCAATTGTCCAACTTTAGGAAAGAGCAATTCAATAATCATGGGTATCAAATAACTTCAGATATTTATAATTGAGAGATCTTTTTGCTCTACCTTTTTCCACTTTTAGTTGCAGAGTTTTCCTTTTGCCATTAATGTTGGCTTCTAGTTCTCGCACCTGCTTTACACTTTTATTCCTTTGTTTCTTCTCATGTCAAGGTATTCCCTGCTGCTACAACATGGTTTCCAGGCTGACTTCAGTTTCTCTTCACTGTGTGATTCTAGGATTTTTATCTCATCTAGTCTTCTTTTTCTGTGTATATGGAAAAGGTTTTAATCTACTATGGCATGAGATTCAATTTCGGGAAATAAATTGAAACTTGGTGCTTCACATTAAATTCCTAAACTATGTGATCCTAGCTAGTGTTGTCAGATTTCCTATACATTTCCTAGTATGGATGAATAGAAGAAGAGCTATCTATCTATCTATCTATCTATCTATCTATCTATCTATCTATCTATCTATGTTAATCCTTTATCAGATATCTTTGTTAATCCTTATCAGATATCTACACCTATTATTGGTATCTATCTATCTATCTATCTAGCTAGCTAGCTAGCTAGCTATTATCTATCTATCTATCATCTATCTAGCTATTATCTATCTATCATCTATCTAGCTATTATCTATCTATCTATCTATCTATCTATCTATCTATCGTCGATCTATTTATCTATCTATCATCTATCTATCTATATGTTAATCCTTTATCAGATATTTTTGTTAATCTTTGTCAGATATCTACACCTATTATTGGTATCTATTTATCTATCTATCTATCTATCTATCTATCTATCTATCTATCTATCTATCATCTATCTACCTATCTACCTCTGACTCTCTCTGTGTCTCTGTACATACACATCTTACATTCAAGTCTCCAGTATTTAAGGAATCTAAGGAGTTATTTGATGTAAAGTTTATTTTTTGTTTTGTTCAGTTTTGATAGGTTCCCCAGATGATACTCTTCAGTTTACACAAGAGCTAACATTGGGTAATTCATATCATTTTCCTACAAATGTCATTTCTTCCTTACATTAATCAAACCCCATCTCCACTTAACTTCTGTACATTGGGGCTTGCAGTGTCCTTCAAAATTAACACACACACACACACACACACACACACACACAGACACCACAAGAAAAGAGATCGATCACATAAAAACACTAGAGAAGATTAGTCACACACAATTTTTAAGCAACAGAGGAACCTTGTCACAAGCATACCTCACCAAAAATTTTCTAAACATAAACAAAACTATGCCCATATTTCCATATATTGTTTATAAATGCTCTTTTACATTTAAAGGGAGATATGTTGTAGAGATTAATAATTTGCTTTGTTATAGATCTTGTTTATTGATTCAAATTTAAGGTAAATTTTGTTATATGTATTTCTAATCTTGATTAAGGTATTGTGATTGTGTAGCTCATTTAAAAATGTAATGTATAATTAACAAATATAGGTTAATAGAGCATCATCTTTAATAGTCAAGATTGTAGTCATGATAGTTAGGTTTTCTAAAAATATAGAAATATATTTCAGTTAGTTAGGTATTCCTCAAATCTTTCAGAGACCTTCAGAATACAGCATTTAAAATGTTTTAAGAACTTAGGACTTTTCATCACAATGAGACCCATCTGCTCCTGGTAGCACCAAGCTACTTCAAGAGGAAGATGGGCATCAAAGAAGCTTCTTATGGAGTTGATTAGTCACTTGGGCAAGAAACTGCTCTTGCCTGAACTACATAAATGGACATGCAGAACCCACAGAGAAATGACTGCTGGTCTTGCCTAAAAGTGTGATGATCCTTCAGGGTTCCTGCTTCATGAAAAAGTCTGCAAGACATTCTACAGGATACAGAAAAAATGACTAAACTGTCTTTGAAATTTACTGTTTCATGGAAAAGTCTGCTGGATACTACTGGCCTGTAGGTTAAAGATGGATACCCCATGGTACAAAAGAACTTTGAGTGACTGTCCAGGCAGCAAAATGCCTCTGTCAATTTTAGAATTTTGGAAGTTGCTTACAATGCATTTCCAATTTACATAAGTAATATAGGTTATAGTTTTCCTTAGTTATAATAAAAGCTAAAGTAGAAATAAATATTGTAACTGTAGTTCTTGCTTGATATCTGTTCTATTATATGTAGTTTTGCTATGTTAAAGTTGAAGCCTTCCATTTTATTTAAACAGAAAAGGGAAAATGGTGTAGGAAGTCCTTCTGATGACTATGTGTTTCTTTTATTGGTTAATGAATAAAGAAACTGTCCTGGCCTGCTGATAGGGCAGAGCTTAGGTAGGCGGAAAAGACAGAACTGAATTCTGGGAGGAAGAAAGCAGAGTCAGAGAGATGCCATAGATCCACTGGAGACAGACATTGGGAATTTTACCTGGTAAGACACTGCCATCTGGCAATACACAGATTACTAGAAATGGGTTAAATAAAGTTTGGAGAGTTGGCCAATAAGAGGCTAGAGCTAATGGGGCAAGCAGTGATTTAATTAATATAATTTCTGTGTGGTTATTTCAAAGCTAAGCTAGCAAGGTGGCTGTGAACTGGGCAGCAGCATGAACAAGTGGGTTTCCTTACAACAAAACAATTATACTAATAAAGAGCATCAAATAAATGTTAATAATTCCTTAGCTTTTGAAATTTTAATTATATTTTCTAGAAAACACATTTGAAGACATTTTTCATTTTCTTTGTATTTGACTAACAAATGTTATCTTCAAAAATTTTCCCTTCCCAATATATTGATTATACATATGTTTATCACAAGAAAATATTAATTTACATAAGAAAAGAATGGTTTTATCAACAATTAATAATTTATTCATATCTTGTTCAAAATTAACATAACTGCAGCCAGAGAATAAGATGGATAATTTTATCAAAAACTTAAAAGTATTTGTGTATATACATATGTATGTGTAAGTGTGTGTCTGTGTGTGTGTGTGTGTATACATAGATACATAATTAACGGTCAAAATCTACAAACTGTTATTGATTATGTCTATTTTGTCCTAATAGACTACTGAAAAATAAAATTTAAGGAGAAAACAAAAACATTGTATATATTAGGCTGCGTACTTCATGGACCTTAATATGTAGGCAAAGAGATGCCACTCATGCAGATAATAGCTTTAAGCTGTCTAACATAACAGTATGAGTGTAAGCTGTTACTTTGACTTGAATTTATCATAATCCAATGGGTAAGGGATTGGAAGTAGTAACAGT